GCTAAGTGCTGAAATCTGAAATATCTATAATTATTTATAACAGGCTACCCCAGCCTGCAACTTTAAATTTACTAGAATTACGTTAGTTCTGTATCACTTGACCTGTCTATCTTTACTCTACAGTCAATATCACAGTCCTAATACACAAAGAAAATGTACACGTAATATTATAGTCATATAATAGCAAATCAAAGGTCCTAAAAATACGTTCTTTGAACAGCCTAGCAACATAGGGGGAAAAAGGAAGGGGTACTGATTTACCTGTGTACCTGCCAGGTGTACTCTCGGATCTCCTCGTTTGCCTCCGTTGTCAGGTAATTATCAGTCGCCACAGCCTACTTCTCTCGCTGTTCCTCTTTGATATTCTCATGCTAGTTTCCTATGGCTAGTCTTCTTACTTCAGCCTCGTACCCACCATCGTGTCCCATGCGCTGTTACTTCCCACAGACCAGCTGAGACTAATTACAACAGGTGCCAGGTTCTGAGAGCGCCTCCCCGCAATGAAAATAATTCTTTGACGGCCACCGACAAGTGTGGTCCTTGGACCCTCATTCTGATATGAATCTCACTTTTCCTCCGGGAATTAACTCTACTCCTTGCACCACATACACAACGTCTCCCACAAAGTCATTGAAAGTTCCCTTTCTGCTGACAGCCTCGCCTCGGCATATCACTAATGCGTCACCTAGTCAAGAATGCACGTTTAATACCCTAACCCTCCAGGTACTCTTCACTTCGCCCGGCACTCTCACTACTCTCAACTGGAGCCAGCCCGTCCTCCAAACAAAGATCCAAAAGTGATTCTATGCACCCGCCAAACCCCCTGTTTATGAATGAAAAGCGGTTTACACACGACTCACAACTGCTGACGTTCGAACATATCCGGAACAAGTGTTTCACTGACGAATTTTGTTCGAATCACAACGGTATAAATGCTTCACCCACGTACTACAAATACAAATAATCGCCAACAAAACCTAAACACCTAACCTAACCTAACCTATGCCTATATATACACAATATGCTAATATATTATAATATTAATTTATACTTGAGAAAATTCCCGTTTTGAATGAACAGCATATTAAAATTTATGAATGCGTCTGTGGGGTCGACCGCTGGATGTAATGGACTTGAGTCGAGGACGGGTTGAAGATGCCACGGGCTCCTCGGGGTTCACTTGAATACTTTGTCTACTGCTCAGCCCGTCCTCATAATCAAAGGACAAAAGTGATTCCATCACCCACCAAACCCCTTGTTTATGAATGAAAAACGATTTACACGACTCACAACTGATGACGTCCGAACACTTCCGGAACAAGTGCTTCGCTGACGACCTTTGTTCGAATCACAACGCTGTAAATGCTTCACCCACGTATCAACTCATTCTCGACTCAAGTCCATTTCATCCAGCGGTCGACCCCACAGACGCATTCATAAATTTTAATATGCTGTTCATTCAAAATGGGAATTTTCTCAAATATAAATTAATATTATAATATATTGTGCATATATAGAGATAGGTTAGGTTAGGTGTTTAGGTTCTGTTGGCGATTATTTGTATTTGTAGTACGCAGGTGAAGCATTTACAGCATTGTGGTTCGAACAAAATTCGCCAGCGAAGCACTTGTTCCGGAAGTGTTCGAATGTAATCAGTTGAGAGCCGTGTGTAAACCGAACCGTGTTTCATTCATAAACAGGGGGTTTGGCGGGTGCATGAAATCACTTTTGGGTCTTTGTTTGGAGGACGGGCTGCATCGACCGCTGGATGTAATGGACTTGAGTCGAGGACGGGTTGCTATAAGTACTTCACTCACGTACTACAAATACAAATAATCGCCAACAGAACTTTGGCGATTTAGCTACACCTAACCTAATCTAACCAATGCCTAAATATGCACAATATGGTAATATATAATAATATTATTTATATTTGAGAAAATTCCATTTTTGAATGAACAGCATGTTAAACATTTATGAATGTGTTTTTGGGGTCGACCGCTGGATGGAATGAACTGGGTCTGAGGACGGGTTGAGCCGACTGACGCCCGTCATGTTGTCAGCCGACTAGGCTCTCTTTCCTTCGACAGAAGCTTCAAAACGAAATAATTCATAAATTTAGCTTCTTGCCAAGCGGATAACACTGTAAAACAAGTACTGGGTGCTTCTACTTATGTATACAGAGGGGAGTATGACTCTCGACAAACGAGAAGAGGCATATATCAGATGGTAACTGAGACACACCCCAGCGGATATTGTTTTTTTTTATTTTTACATGCACGCATGCAAATAAATACAATAAAACAGAATACAATATAAACATGCAAGCAAAGAAAGACAAGAAAATAAAACATAGTAACAGATTAAACAAATCAACAAGGAAGCACCAGCCTGAAGGACCGACAACAAAGCACAACATGAAGTATATACAAAGAAGAAAACAAAGCACATAACCACCGGTGTGAAGGGCCGCCAGCAAAACAGGAACACGAAGCGCCAGTAACAAGATAATTTGCCAAAAAGCAATACAAAACAAATCACACAAAAAACGCAGTAAATATATACATAAAGGAAACATTGGGTACATACAGAAAATAACAAGCAAAGAAGCAGCCCGAAGGGCCTCAGCAAAACACAAACAAGCGCACCAATAGCACACAAATACGCAAACAGACCAGAACAGGCCTACGCAGGAGCCAAGAGAAAAAACACCCACTCGCACACACACACATCACCCTCCCCCCCCCACCCGTCCGGGCACGCGGGCACCGGGTAAACAGAGCCACACTCATCAGAGTAGACACGGACTACTGATACTTTTTGGCATACTGAGATGCCGGGAACCGTATACAATACGCCTCCCAAAGCAACTTGGTTTTCTCCGAAACCTGAAGACCGAGAGGCGCATACGGCCTAGGCATTAATTCCGGCACACCCCGGACAAAACACCGTCCTTGCGGAACCCAAATGCAAGTAGGATCCCAAGGAACTGGGAGCACACGCTTAACCAAATCAAACCGCACATTGGCCAAAGTACGCACTTCCCCGGAGGGGAAGTGCGTACTTTGGGAAGGGGAACCTGCGTGCGTAGGGGAACCCCACTTCCCCTATCGTCTTGGCCGGAGGCCAAGACGATAGGAAAGGGGTTCACTCCAGGGGTCCTGGTACAAGACGTCGCACTCAGAGGCACACCGGGGGGGGGGGGGCACACAGGGCTGTGCACCAGCACGGGCACTAGGACCCACCTCGGGCTCCGCACAGGCCTCCTCACTACCCATGGGATGATGCGCCCGCTGGGACCCCCCATGGCGGGCATCTTTCTTCAGCACCATGACGATACCACGGCCAGCACCAACACCCAAAGCATCGACAGCAGGAGCAACCACTTCCCACCGCAGAGAACCGCCCGCCGGGGGCAGAACCAAAGGCACGTCAGAGAGACGGGCGCCGATATCACCAGCAACACCAGGCGCATGGACCTCCGCCACCACCAACTGGGCAGAGTGTGAGGCGCCCTGAACCACCTCGACACCCGAAGCCTCACAGTCACTGAAGTCACCTACATCCGCCCAGGCAGAAGACGAACGCCGGGAACGCTTGGGCTCTGGCCGTACATCATCAGAGCCGGAAGCGGACCCAGAAACATGGGCCCCACAAGCCGGGCGGACCGACGCACGACGCAAGACGGCAGCAGCTTCCACTACAGGGGGAACCGGACTGCACACAGCACGAGGCGGCGCCACCACCCCATCAGCCAGCACAGACGGAACATAAGGCGAGGGCGCAGGAGCAGAAGACGAGGAAGAGGAGAGCGCCGACGACGCACAGAGATCTCCCGGAAGGCTTATGGGAGCAGCGGGGACAGCGACAGGAACAGGAATAACATTCGACGGCAAGGCAACACCCGGAGGGTCTGCAACAACCGAAGGAAGGATGGGTGATGCCTGGGGAGCCGCAGCAGCCAACGGGACACTCACTTCCTCACTCCCGGAGTCCTCCTCCAGAGGCAGTGTCGGGAAATCCTCTTCCCTGAACATGTTCACGGGAGAAACCGCAGCCTCAGTGCACCTGGCAACCTGATGCCCCAACAGGCCACAACAAAAACAGGTCCGTGGTTGCCAGGCATAGTACACCCGTACGTAGTACCCTAAAAGCCGGACAGAAGATGAAATGTCCGACCTCAGGCGCACCTCTAGGGTACGAATGTTAGTCCTCACACCCGTATACTTGCCAGAAGACAGCGTGTGCATCCCCACACTAACGACGGTGCCAAACCGCTGGAAGAAACGCCGGAGGAGGGTCTCGGGAAACTCCATGGGGGCCCCATGGACGCTCACATACGTCATGGCACCGCTACGATCCGTAATGGACACAGATCTGGTGCCATCCTGCAGCTGCAAGGTACGTCCCTCGTACCGCCGGAGAGTCATGGTACGCCGCTTCTCCCACAAACTTGATAACTACACGGTGAGCAGTTACCAGCTCAACACTGTAGATGTCCATTACCGAGATATGGAGCACGTCACACATGACCATCTCCACTACAGGGTACCCCGCACGTCCAGTAAACTTCAATCCCACGGAGTTGACTCTCACAACAGAAGGAAGATGGCTGCCCATCGCAAAATCGCCACGTCCACACCAACCAGGCGGGAACTGCATGGAGGGTAGAGACACCCACACCCCCTGCCGACTAAAGCGGCAAACACCCCAACTACCAGAGAGGCCAGGCGACACGTCTGCACCTCACGGCAGCTAGAGCGCAACTCCACCCCAGCAGATATTGTTTGAAATTAATTGTTAAAATTTCCATGACCACTTTACACAAAATTATAACCAAATTGATGGTAACAGAATGATAATATGTTACTGCTCACGATACTAAAATATAGTTACCCATAGTTTACCTAGGTTATAATTTTACAAATTATCTTTAACTACTGAAAGAGTAATTTGAATATAGTGTAAGACTCTCAGGCAAATAATTAATAACAATATAGTAATAGTTTAGACCTATATTACAGTTAATTCATTAATATATTGCACAATTATAACAATAACAATAATTATTAACAATAACTTGATGTACTATCTATGATAAAGTATTGAGGCTGTAGAGTAGGATCCAACTGTCATCCCTGGACTCCCCGACACACGCACTACCCACTGTACCATGACGAGATAAAAGTTTCTCAACCAAAAATTCTATCAGACTTGGAGTTTGGAAATCACCATTCGGTACCACAATGAATTTGAAAAGTCGTAAAACTAGACTGTGGTACGGGATTGTGACCTCCAAACTTCAACTAAAACTGGTAGAATTTTTGGTCGAGATACTTGAGACTAAATTATAATTATATAATCGATTATAAAATTATATAAATTATAATTATGTAATCATCGTAAGTAACGATTAGCTATTATACAATTCTTTTAAATTACGCCTATTGCTAGCTACAAAATTGCGATTTACTATTTATATTAAACAATATAAGCCCATTACGGGCTCACTGTTGCCCGTGCTACTTGTAACTTTTGTTCAGAGTAGCCAAATTTAAAACAACATTGAACAATATATTATTATAAATAATATCTTTAATAAAAGTCCGACAGTTTTGACTGAGGACTTGGGTACTCATATGAATTATTTCAATAATGTGAGACAATCTATTAAAGTACATCCAGTGTATACAATATACACTAAGAAACAGGATGTAAACCTTTCGGTGTACATATCCTGAAAATTTGATACAAATTTATTGCATTATGTAATTCATTTAAGTAGCATTATTGCCAAGACTAGACTACGGAGCACTTAAAGCCAAGAAGGGAGCGCGCGCCTCCAAGGAACCTCTGGAACACCTGGAGCGTGCTCCCGTAACGCACACCGTAGCTACTGAGTGTTGCCTTGTCACTGAGAGTCACAGTGTTAAAGACGATGCTGATGGTGTCGACGTCGACGCCCGAAGTCTCCCCCAGCAGCCTCTTCAGCTCCAGCACCGTCTTGGAGGAGCTAATCTTTAGATGGGATTTATTGTTGTGCAGGTCTATGATGATGACACGAATCTGAGGTGGTGGGGGATTGAAAGGAAAGTTATCCTGGGTAATGTATTCTTAGAGGTAATAATAATTCATTATATTACTAAAAAGTAGCTTAGTTGATGAATTACGATATATTTAAAATGTTTTAAATACTGTACATTTGTACAGTATTTAAATTAAATTATTTAAGATATATTAAATATTAAAAGTATTTAAGATATATTAAATATTAAAAGTGAATATAATAAATTAAATATAAAGATATATTAAATTTCATCAAGCCTATATTAGGATACTTCAATGACATGAGTCCCTGTCATAGCATTTATTCAGGAACAGTTGTCTGTTCCTCACAGTAATCAACTTTATGATATCATCAACCTCACAAGTCGTCAAATGGTCAACAAGACAAAAATGAGACGGGAAAGTTCTCATTCTGCTGACAGGACTCAGAAGTCATCTATTCCTATACTCGCCTGTGTAAAGACAAAAACACTGTTTCGTATATTTCGTCACTAACCAAGTGAATGATTGGTCAGTCCCGAAGGATAAAAGCCATACAACTTTTTTTTTCGAACGATATTAAAGTATCTTAATTAGCGCCTTACAGCAGTGTATGCCTGGAATATTTAAGCGTGGTCTTGGCTGAATGACCAACTCCTCAACTGCAGAAAGACAAAGCCTAGAATTTCTCAAACAACAACTTCATTCACACCCCTATTGTGTAGCTCACATGATGTATTTACATATATACTAATGCATAGCTAACAATAAGATAAAGGATATAATTTCTGATGTATTTTGAGTACGGGAAGAATTCCATTTTATACTCCTGCTACAGCTAATCAAAATGGATTAACCATCGCAAAATGACAGTTCACACAAAGCCCAATTCTTTACCTCCTCGTCAGTTAGGAGATGATCATGTTGAGTGTCGTCATGGTTACCACATGCACTGTGTTGGAGGTTGTTGGGATGAAGGGCCTGGAGGAAGGGATGACTGAGGACCTGAAGGGCAGAGGGCCTCTCCTCTGGCTCAGGGTTGAGGAGGACACTAACCAATTGCTGCAGGTCCTGGGAATAGCAAGCCGGCACCCGTACCTGCCCAACACAGTTTACAGTAATTTACAGTTGGATAACACAGATTTACTTAGTTCATACAGCAGACAAGCTGGATTGATTTAGATGGCATAAAGCAATTATTCATACGAATTCAGAAATAAGCGAAAAAACTTTCCAAAATGCCCTTTTTTTCCTTCTCTGAGGCGATGGGTTCCCCACTATGGCAAAAAAGGTGGCACAACTTTGTTATTAAAGTCATTTTTAAAAATATATATACTAATGAAACTAATTTTAATACTACGGTTTAAGAGATGACGAGAGAGGCTTTGTTTTACAATAGGCGTAAACAATCTAGGCTAGGCTACAGTTTAAACGAAGCAATTACACTGTAACTAGTGGTTCCAACGTTCAGCAGCAACTCACGTTGTTGAAGGGGAAGGCGAACCTGAAGGAGGCAATCTCGAAGATGCAACATCCCAGAGACCACATGTCCGCCTTAGTGTCGTAAGGTTTCATACTATAGATTTCTGGGGCCTGTAAGATGAAAACACATTTGTACACTTGTATACACACTATACTTGCAAACCTGTACAACCTCTACACTTGCAGCCATGCACACCTGCATCCTTGACATGCAAGGACAAATTATTCAACACTGGTGGGACGCGAACAAGGGGACACAGGTGGAAACTGAGTACCGATATGAGCCACAGAGACGTTAGAAGGAACTTTTTCAGTGTCAGAGTAGTTAACGGATGGAATGCATTAGGTAGTGATGTGGTGGAGGCTGACTCCATACACAGTTTCAAATGTACATATGATAGAGCCCAGTAGGCTCAGGAATCTGTACAACAGTTGATTGACAGTTGAGAAGCGGGACCAAAGAGCCAAAACTCAACCCCCGCAAGCACAAATAGGTGAGTACATATGTGGACCCCAAACCAACAGAAGTATGCCACCTACCATGAAGGCGCGGGTTCCAGTACACCAAACCAACAGAAGTATGCCACCTACCATGAAGGCGAGGGTTCCAGTACACCAAACCAACAGAAGTATGCCACCTACCATGAAGGCGCGGGTTCCAGTACACCAAACCAACAGAAGTATGCCACCTACCATGAAGGCGCGGGTTCCAGTACACCAAACCAACAGAAGTATGCCACCTACCATGAAGGCGCGGGTTCCAGTACACCAAACCAACAGAAGTATGCCACCTACCATGAAGGCGCGGGTTCCAGTACACGTAGTGGCCAGGTCAGCTTCAGGACTGATGACTCGAGCTAAACCGAAGTCCCCGAGCTTGAGTCCTCCGGCTTTGGTGAGAAAGATGTTCATGGGCTTCAGGTCCCTGTGCAGGACGTGCCTCTGGTGCAGGTACTGCCGGAGGAAATTTAAATTTAAATAAGATTACTGAGGTAAAATTCACACAAAGGGATGAGGTAGCTCAAGCTATTCTCACCCCGTTCAGTACAACGTGTTCATATGTTATACTCAAAATTCTGTCAGTTGAAATGTAACCAATCACAGGCAAGTAGGCCTCTGACGTCATGACAGACAGAGGAGCATCAAGCATGCTCCCAGCAGCCTCAGTTATCCTCACAGACCCAGAGTAGGTGGACCTCGGCTGGCCAGTTATACACCTGTTTGCCTCACTCAATAAATATATACAGAAGCGACTACTGTGTCTACATTCAACCCGAACAAGGCAAACGAATACTGGTAGCAGCAGTGGGATCCAGAAATTTTTTTCTGGAAGCAAAAGTTCCAGTACCCAGCATCGCCTCGTGTTCCAGCCAAAACCGCCGCCACCGCCACCGCCATAAGCCGCCATCCTGCCACCCACGCATCAAATATTGTGCCAGACCGGGGTCCTGCCATCAACCACTACTCCAGGCTAACGTTTTAGAAGTAAGGGTCAATATTTTCCTGTGAGAACGCTCACTCATCAGTGAGGAGGAAGGAAGCTTCCCGCGCCAGCCATTTTTGAACCTCGCGCCACCACGTGGGAACCACCTATTACACCCACCACCACCACCACCGCCACCCAAGCTGACAGTATCAAGCTTCGTGAGGGTGCAAGCTACTGCAATCGTCGTCAGCCATCGTCGCAAGTATCAACTGGTTATTCCATCGTCGCAATATTGTCGTCGTCAGAATTTATCTTCGTGCCTCTAGCGTGAACAGTGTGGGGTCCCTGAGTCTCGCGCCACCGCCGCCAGGAGCGCTGCCGTCGCATCCAGTTTGTAAACACGCCTCACATGGGCCTCTTCAGATCTTCACGACGCTTCTCCTACTTTGGCTACTGGTGATCCTCATAAATTACAACCCTGAGATAAGTAATTGCTAGTTGAGAACAACGTGCCAAGTGTTAAAAAGTGACTTATGTAATAATTCCCATAATATCCTGTGAATTAACCATTCAGTGACTTGTTAAATATTGGAGCTGGTTCAGTACTGCACTCCCCACAGTTTTCCTGTGTGATTTCAACATTCCTGCTTCTTACAGTAATTTCATTGAATTTTAATTGTTCTCCTAGAGTGTTATTGGTAAATTCAAATTCCAGTGAATTAAGAAATCCTTGTTTTAGTAGCAGTTAAGGATTTGTGCAATATAATTTTTTTTAATTTCTCCAGACCTAACTTGAAATTTATCCTTTAAGCATTTTATTTTAAACTTTTACCATAGGAGTTATATACATTCCTGTGTCCAGTTTATGTGCTACATCCATATTTCTTGCATTGCCACTTGTTGTGTTGAATCTTTTTAATGAAATTTTGCAATTGCATTTCCCAGTTTTTATTCTAAATTGCTGTGCTTAGTCTGGTTTAATTAATTTACATACATCTAATTCCAGTCATTTTTTAATGAAAGATTGCTAAATTTAGTTTACAATTTGCTTGTTCTTAATTATTTTCTTGCCTAGCCCAATTTAATAATTTTATTTCTGCCATTTTTACTTTAGCCAAGTTGATATTTTTTGTGTTTATTTTTGTGTATACTATTTCTGATGCCAGGTGCACTTAATTATAATCTGCGTTCAAATATTACTTCCACGGCTGTGACAATGCCTACCACTGTTGAAACCCCTTCAGAATCAATGGGAACAGTTGCTCGTCCCAATGGCCAGAGATCAGCTCAGGAAATGGCTATTCCTCTTTTTGCTGGGGAATCGCGTTTATTAGAATCATGGTTTAGTAAGGTTGAAGCGAAAACAGTTGCACGTTTTTCTAAGCCTACTGATGCCGAATACTTAGCAATTGCACGGTCAGCCGTGGACACAACCAAAGGTGATGCACGTTTTGTTGTTGATGAGAAAGCCATTGTTAGCCTCCAGTCTTGGCCTGAATTTAAGGATTTCTTTCGCCGTCGCTTTGTTAATAAAGGAGACCTTGACCCATATAGGTTAGTCAAGAAAATTGCCAATGCCACCATGCAGCCTGGTGAATCGTTTAATGCGTTTACTAGCCGTCTCGATCAGTATCTGTATGCCTTAGTTTCTGCTATGAATAATTCAACTTGGTTAGATAAAGACAATAATCTGTCCCCTGAGGCTATGGCCAAAATGATAGCATTTGGTACTTTAATGCATTTTGCCCCCGAGCATACAAAACCAATCGTTGAGCAACAAAATTTTGGTGTTAAACATGAAATTGGTGAAGTATTTGAGGCTATTAACAATGCCGCAGATAAACTAGCTCCCCGAAGTGCTCAACTGTTGCCACCCTCTGATGCTGTAAATGTAGTTACAAGTTCTCAGCATCCTCCCACAAATTCTCAAAACTCTTGGTCGCAGAAGCGTACCCATGCTCGTAGCCCCCAGTCAAATTCGCCGCCTCATAAAATGCCGAAACGCCATAGTCCACAACCATCCACTCCCTCATGTTGGCATTGTGGTAAGAGTAACCACCTTGCAAGGGACTGTTGGTCCGCCCCTAGATCATCACCTCCTAGACAATTCTCTCGGCCCCCTCATCAATCTAATCATTCTAGGCTTCCATATTGCACGTACCATAAACAAGTTGGTCACCACACTGCGGATTGTAGAGCTAGGCAAAGGACATCTCCACCTCGTAACTCCCATGGTCAGTCTTGGCGAGGCTCACAGCGTCCAAGACATTATCAGAACTCTCGTAATTACAACTCCCAGCCCAGCTATAATGCAATTTCAAATTATAATGCTCAGTCACAGAATGCTGGAGCTCACAATGTTCACTCCATGTCGTCGGGAAACCCCCAAGGCCATCCGCTAACCAATTCAAGCTAGCCAATCCTAGTGCCCTCCCTGTGTATTCAGTAGCTACCCAAAATAGATTTGGACACTTGACAGAGGAGGACACTGACTCTAGACCAGTTGTAGATGTTGACGGATCCACAGTAAATTTGACACAAACAAGACACAGATATCCCAGACAACATAAGTCAAAAATAGTAACTTGTCCAGTCTCAAGTGATGGTCCCCTTGTATCAGCCATTGTACATGGTAGAGTTTTAAAAGTTTTTCTTGACTCAGGTGCAAAAATTAATATTGTCAAGCCCTCAGCTCTTAGAGACATTGAAAGTAAGCACCCTACTATTTTAAAACAGTCACACATACCTTTTCTAAGTGGTATTTCAGGAAATAAAGTAAAAGTTCAGGGTGAAATTGACCTCCCACTCAAGTTCAATGATGTCACATTGTCTATAACATGTTTAGTTGTTGACATTATTCATTTTCCTGGAGACATTCTCTTAGGTCTGTACACCATGATTGATGAAAATATTGCATTGTTTCCCCATCGTTGGAACATAAGTATCAAAGACCATGTCATACCCTTGTGTAGCATGTATCGACAGGGCCACGAGTTCAATCTTCAATCAGATTACGTTAATTTTGTTGACACCCGCCTTGCAAGCGTAGGTTTGTCAGATCATTGTCGTGGTAGCATACCCGAGAAAACAGGCACTCGATTGAAGCATAGTAGTTGTGCAGTTGTTAAGGAGAATGAGTATCGGGACTTTCTGGAAGGGGACGCCCTAACGGATTCTCGTTGTCTCGCTCGCCTGGCAGCTTCCATCTCTGAAGTCAGTGGTTCCACGGCTACTGACACTGTGCTACACCCTCATTCTCTCACCAGAATAAGAGTTAAGGTTCAGGGAGTGCCTGAGTTGTCGGATGTGATTGCGGAAAGTGAAACATGTAAAGTGAATGGTACATTTGTTGAACCCTCCTGGCACACAGTGCAGGATGGTACTGTCTCACTTTTTATCGCGAACACAAGTAATGCCGATATCCATCTCCAGTCTGGTACCCATGTTGTAGATTTTGCCCATTACTCGTTACCGGTGCGAGTTGTGGATGATGTCTCCATGGATCATACTGTTTGTACACTCACACCAGGAGAACAGGGATCTCAGCCAGAGGTGCAAGCGCAACACCTCAGTCCTACTGATTTTCCTGACTCTGTGGCTCAGCTTTTGGAAATTTTGAACAGGAATAGAGCTGTTGTTGCTCTACCAGGAGAAAAATTAGGTCTCACTCCTCTTATTACACATAAAATTCCCCTTGAACAAGGAACTACGCCTATTTATGTACCAGCTTACCGACTTCCCCATTCTCAGAGAGCAGAAGCAGATAGACTTGTAGAAGAAATGTTACAGAGTGATGTAATTGAATCGAGTAATTCGCCATGGAACGCTCCATTGATTCTTGTACCAAAGCGAGATGGGACTTGGAGACCTGTAATCGATTATCGCAAGCTTAACAGAGTAACAATACCTGATCGTTTCCCACTTCCAGTTCTAAATGATTTGTTGCAAAGTATTGGTCGAAACAAAGTATTCTCAACGTTAGATTTGTTGCAGGGATTCTGGCAAATCCCCCTTGATGAGGAAAGTAAACAATTGACAGCCTTTAGTACTCCCAATGGTCATTTTCATTTCAAAAGAATGCCGTTTGGTTTGCGTAGTAGTCCAATAACCTTTTCACGGCTCATGACAAATCTATTTCGTAGATTGATAGGAAGTACGCTTCTAGTTTACCTTGATGATCTCATAATCATGTCGCAAGATGTTCAGACTCATTTCCAGAACCTTGAAAAAGTACTTGCAAAGCTCGCTGAAGCTAATTTAAAAATAAAGCTTGCAAAATGTTCATTTTTAAAGCAAAAGATTAATTTCCTAGGTCATACAGTTACACCTTCAGGTATTACATTGAATGAATCAAAAATTATTGCTGCCCGTGATTTTCCAACACCTCGTACCGCAGAAGCCGTAAGACAGTTCACAGGTCTTGTAGGATTTTATCGTTCATTTATTGCTGGATTCTCTATTATAGCCGCTCCGCTTTACAAGTTGCAAAGAAAAGATGAACCCTTTGTTTGGGGAGAGGCCCAGGATC